TTTGTTTTTATAACCAAAACTTTTATTTTTTGCAGCATTGCGGAAAAATTGCATTCCTAGAATAAAACCAATTCAGGTGAGTAAATTATTAATTAATAACTTTAAAAAGTGAACAAATTATGTTTTAAATTGATAAAAATGCAATTTAAAAATAATTATGTTGGAGGTTCAAGACGATACATGGATTTTGATTGGTATTGGTATACCATCGTTTGTTAGAGAGATTTTGCCTCATTTTCACTCATAATTTGTAAACGTTACAAAGAACGATTGGTGGAGCATCGACAGATTCTATTGCAAGATTTTGTATATTGGGCTTGTCGTCATCCGGTATTGTGACAATGCGAAGTGTGGCATCATTTTTTGACCTGCTACTGTGACAAGATGTTGAAATCAAGCATAAGGAAAGCCAAACGTGACACATATGTAGGAGTCTCTTATTGTTGGGCCATATCTCTTAGCATTATCTAATGACACGGCGCAACGTTATGAAACACAATGTAAAAAATAACTGCAACGTATTGGTGATGGTAGGTCGGACCTGGCAAAGGCCTTAAATAGAGACGAGCGTCGTGCACCCTTAAAAACAACACCGTTATCGGAAAGTGTTGGGCGTAAAGTTCGCCTCGGATCGGAAAGTTAAACCATAAATTGGACTCGACACCATTCACAGACCGTTTTTAGTTCTACAGTCAATACGAAACGAGAGTCAGTCTCATTTTAGTTACATATGCCTAAGGAATGAAAGAACCTTGTGCCTAGCTTGAAGATACCCAAAAGCCAATATTTCAGTATCTACTAACTGGTATTAGAGTAATTAATCTAATTGCTACCTCGCTTGTCAATCTCGTTCATAAATGGCTTCATTTTCTATTTTTTTTTTATTTCAGAGGCGTCCTGAACAGTTTTCCTGACATTATTTCAACACGAATGCGATTGGTTAACATCTATGCAAAAGATGAGCAATGACCAGATGACCGATGTGAATCGTCGCACCAATGTTAGTTCCTATGCAGTAATAGCTGAAATGTAGGATTTTAAACAAAATCACGTTACACAAATGAAACCGGCGCTTAAATCTTTTATAGTCGAGTTTTTGGCAAGAAACCTGCGAAGTAATAATGTATGACATGGTGTATAATCGTGATGAAGGGGCCGAATCATATTGTTTAAATAGATACACAATTTATGGAGGATCACACACCACTGATTTATAATTAAAGTTGTTTCATTTTTAAGAAAAACTCAGTATCTCGATATATTTTATACAAGTAATAAGTTTTGATTTATTCCGTCATATAAGAACAGTGTTTTATAATAATTCTTCCGGATAGAGTGGTGTGTACATGCAGAGGAGACTTAAAATCATTTTAACCAGATATTTTGTATGCATGTAGCTTTATAATTAGTAGTATATATAAATATATGTTAAATGTACTTCTTTAAGTATACAATTTAAGTGTTAATACTTATATTTAACCATATTACATAGTGTAACATAGTATATTATTTCCTGTTATAAATTGGCCTTTGAAAGTATTTAGCCTTTTAAACAAAGACTTTTGAATCCCAAAAATATGAGTAAAGAAATTATGAATTTTGATACCTAAATATTAGGAAATTCCTGTTATAAATTTGGCCTTGAAATATTAGCCCTTTAAACAAGACTTTTGAGTCCCAAAAATATGAGTAAAGAAGAAAATTATTGAATTTTGATACATAAATATTAGGAAATTCCTGTTATAAATTTGGCCTTTTAAATATTAAGCAGGTAGGTATTATGCATATTGTTCGACCACATTCATGATAATTCATTGCAAGCAAAATGGGGACCACCATCCCAACATACAAAGTAAATATGCAAACATACTTCTAAGTGTGCGCATTCGAACGGCACAAACAGACAGAAAAACTATACTCGAGTCGCTGGACTCTTTTTGCTCTGTGAAAGCAGAGATGATGCAAGCGTTTACACCATAAAACATGTTCATACAACATCATTGTTTTAAAATTTTTTTAAACCATCACACATGTATGACATAACGGAATTTATTATGTTTCACGCTCATTCTTCTCATCACGCCGCACATGCTTGCTTACAAAAATGACCGTGTTAAAGGCCGCTTGTTACCCAAAAAATAACAAACGATATAAAAGGTGACCTTAGAACGAAACTAACATGACATAATAAAACGATTGGATAGAGCGAGGAGAACTATTGAACATCAAATGGCGCTGTGTTACTTTTTTCCCATTCTCTGTGAACAATAACAAGTCGCGAAACACGTTTGCTAGTAAATATCCGCTTGTAGGAATGCATTTGAAGACGACTTCATTATATTAAACGCGATCCATGATCGCCCATATCATAAAATATTTTGAAATGCGGATCGTGGATCGCGCGTTAAACATTAAATATGATCGCGACATCAACGACATTTTGTATGTAAATTCACGATACGACGGAAACAAATTATTAAAATAATAAAAAGGCATGATAATCTCAAAATTTTTTTTTATTTATATTTACACTACCAGTGATCGAACTCAGAGTGAGTTACAGGTAGACGATTTATCGAGAAATCCGGTTACATGGTGTCAGAATGGGATTGTCAATAAATTCCCAAGGAGATTATTATTTTTAAAATGGCCAAGTTTAACGATCTGAAATTTCCACAACTGAAAAAGGAGCTGGAGCAACGGGGTTGGCGACAAATGGTTATAAAAACTGAATTACAATCACGGTGAGAAGAGGCCATGGAGGCGAAAACATTAATGTGGAGGAATATGTCTTTCATATGGAATTAGAAGAAAGACAACAAAGATAGAAGAAAGAAAGAGGCTCAATGCTCGTCAAAGATTGTGGACATAAACATGGTTTTGTCGCAATATCGCAAATGTCAACGGGAAATATCGACACTATTTAAAGAACAGGATAACGTATGTCTCAAATGGAAACGCGATTGTCAACGCATTTGGAGAGCAGTTCGCAGCGCAAGATGCACGTTTTCAGCACAGTTGTCAGCACCGAAAGAGCTCGACGTGCGTATGTCAGCGCAGGTGTATCCTCACAGTTGGAAGAGGAGGAGCATGTGACCAGGATCTTCCATATGAGAGCAAGAAGCTTGTATACCAGCACAAGTGTCTCGCAGCGGAAGAACTGAACGGGCGCATGCCAGCGCAGGTATCCTCACAGTCGGAAGAGGGGGAAGCGTGTGCCAGTACAAGGGTCCTCACAGTTAGAAGAGCAAGAAGCTTGGATACCAGCACAAGTGTCCGTACACCAAAATTTTCGTTACGAGTAGACACCGACTTTCGTATCCCTGCAAGACGGAGGTGTTGTGATGGTGTAGTGATAAGTTCTGAAACTCTAAGCTCCGAAATTCTCGGATAATATTTTTATATTACGGATATGTACTCAAAAGCAAGTTTTAAAAATATATTGAAAAGTACTTGATACCTATCAATGTCGATAGTTTAGTATCGATCCTTTTCCCAGTACCTATAAATCTGATACGATACTGGTATCGAGTAAAGTGTCGATACTTTTGAAATGTTGTGGAACAATAAGAAGAGGAAATACCTAAAGGGGAAATAAGGAACTAACTAGACTAGAACTTAGAAACTAGGATACAAACATCATCTAATTTTCTGCCGATTTCACATTCTGAACTGGCAAAACTCTCAGTCTATTTTATGTTTGAGGGATTTCCCCACACACACACAACAAGACATTTTAGAAAAATTCCTTAAACATAATATATAAGCAAACAATTAAACTAATTTTCATACTTATTTAACAGGACACCTAGTAAAATGTTCTGGCCCTAGAGACAAATTTTCGTCATATTCGAGAACAATGTAGCCGTTAATAACTGATACAGAATTAAAAGGTTTAATACATTTAAGTGATATATATGCTAAGCCTACAAGTTGGTTCTATTCTTAAATTTAAAAGTGACGTGCTTTTATGCGGAAAATTAATCATATAAATATTGAATTGCGCAAGTTATGTATAACGGCGGCATGCACAGCATCATATCACATGATCCGCCAATACGTGACTCAAACAGCAGACTCAGCATATTTTGAGCTTGCTGGAATGTGCGGTACAACCGGGCATAGCAGCAAGCTCGAGTTGCCCATCTGATGCAAGAAGCAGTCTGATTTCAAACATCAAAGAGTTGAGTAATTAATTATATAATTGGCGCAGTCGACGTTCCGCGACCCAAAAAGGGAAGTAAATGAAGAAAAAAAAAATAAAAAGCAGAATCAAGTGCTGTGATTTAAAACTAAAAAAAAAATATATATATAAATGTTTTAATTTAATAACTATTTTAAATATCGGCATTGAAAGATAAACCCAAATTCTCCAATGCAGCAGCAAGCAATTCAACAACTCAACAGTAAACGCAAATTCAGCGAATTGTAAAATAACGAAGGTGCCAGAAAAACAACTTTAAAAGAACTTTACAACTTTAGAGAGTAGAACTTATTTACTTTTGAAAAAATTAAAGAACTGAAAACAATCGTTAAAAAATTGATATATACATATATATATATAAATAATAAAAAATAAAAATAAAAAAACAAACAACCCAGTGTGATTCCTGAGACTTTCCTAATAAAAATCGTATGTCAGTTGAAATAACTAAAAGAGAAGAGTTTATAATAAATAGCAGTAGCAGCAAGCAACAGTAACAGTAAGGGCAACAACAATAACAACAGCAGCAGTAGCAGCAAGCAACAGTAGCAGTAAGGGCAATACAAAAAATTACAACAGCAGTTGTACGTGGAGAGCAGCAATAGTAAAAACGGCAAGTGAATGTTATAGATTCGAAGCATACCTTTATAAGCTTATATTAATTTATATTATACAATATTATTAAAATAATTTGAAGCATATTCTTACGAGAGGTAAAATACGAATTGTTAAATATACAAGATATTGTACATTTATTTATTGTATACTATTCTATCTATACATAAAAATTTGTGAAGATGGCTCAAAATATACAAGATTGTTTAGTCGCCATTGCCCAGTTGCTGCAACAAAACGCCCAACAACAAAATATAACGTTTAGGCAAAGAGTCGAAAGGGACTTAAAATTTCTAGCTCCTTTCGAAGGTAATGTAAAAAATTTGCCATCCTTCATTGAGGCTATTGACAGAGTACGAAGGGACTATGTAGGTCAGGAAGAAATAGTTTTTAGAGTGATCTATGACTTAAAAATTGGTGGTTCAGCAAAAAATTTTTTGCAAGCAAACCCACCTCAAGATTGGGCAACTTGTAAAGCTAAATTAAAACAGCACTACTTTGACCAACGACATCACCTATCTTAGGGTGGGTAGTATCATGGAACTTAGTAGAAAAGCTAAAGAAATAATTGATAATGTTACGGAATATTGTGCTTTAAGTGAGTCAGGAAATATAATGAAAGAAATATTTACAGGAATGCTTATACAAAAGATAAAGCAATTAGCAGCAGGAACATTAGCCTATATGGTACGAAATATATCGGCATGGACAGACATGGCAAATACAATCCACAATTTCATAGGGCTGGACGATGGAAATTGAAATCCTACGTTTTTAACAAAAAATAGAAATTCGGATTCATTTTCTCAAAATACTAGAAAGTTTAATAATAACAGAAATCAGAATAATCAAATAATAAACAATTATAGGAGACAAAATAGTAGTGAGCAAAATATTAATCGTTTCCAAAGTAATTCAGGACAACATCCCCGTAATAATAATAATTATTATTCACAAAATAGTTCGAGACGATACTCCCAAAGAAATACAAACTTTTCAGGGCAAAATAATTATCACCCAAATAATCCCCACAGAC